GCGAAAATATGTGATTAGTCTTTTGACATAGAACAATCATTCCTGTGCAAACTACTGACTGTCCCAATGGATCCCAATAAAAAACTTCATGTTCCCAATAAAGTTCCTGTAAAAAAGACTCACTACCAGTGTCTGGTGGTTAAACTCATCTACCTTGCCAATACATGTCACGCATATGCCATACAGATGGGATAGTCTGTCAATTCATTCATGATCCCTATGAGTACCACCTCCAAGCAATCTATCAGATTCTCCACTATTTAAAAGGCACACAAGGCTCAAGTTTATTTTTTTTTTTTTTGCACCACTTCTTATTCCATTGATGTTTACACAGATGCAGATTGGGTCGGATCAGTCCATGATCGGCGACTACCTCGGGTTACTGCTCATTTTTGTGGGCAAACTTGCTCACGTGGAAAAGCAAGTAGTTTGTAGCTGTTCAGTGGAGTGCGGAAGTTGAATTTTGGTCCAAGTCCTTGTGAATTTGTGAAGCTCTCTGGTTACGCATCTCGCTCCACAAACTACGTATGAAAGTCTCTACTCCCCTATAGTTTCTCTGTAATAACAAGGCTGTCATTAGCATTGCTCATAACTCGGTCCTGCATTGCACCAAGTATATTGAGATTGACTGTCACTTCGTTAAGGAAAAGATAGAGTCCGAAAAAATTTGGGTTCCGTTTGTATCATCTAGTGGCCAGCTTACAGATATTCTCACAAAGAACCATCCTCGGCAGGTTGAACATGCCTGACATTTATATTTCAGCTTAAGGTGGAGTATTAGAATATTAGAATATTAATATGCCAACTTTTGTATTAATTGCTTTGATTTTCTTTTATTTACTTTTCTTTTTCCCTTTATTCAGTTTTTATTTGTTTCCTTACTAGTAGATCATGCAATGAATATTTATATCTCTCTTTGCATCAATAAGAATTATCTTGGGTTCTATTCAAAAAATTTTCATGTTACAAATTCTTCTATCGGTTATTTTATGTCACAAATTCTTCTATCGGTTATTTTGTGTATTCTTGTGCTCCTTCCTCTTGGTATTCATGATGTTTGGATCCAACATCTTTATGAATTCATGGGATGTGTGAAAGTTAATTTTGGTGATTTGTATTCCTGATTTTGTATATTGTTCCTTACATGCCCCTGGATTTTTTTCTTAATGGTATAACACTCTGAGATCTTCATTCTTGGTGAGAGTTATGAGATGATTTAGTGTAGTAATAGATTTCATTTCAAGTTAATTTGTGATAGTGGACAAGAGTGACTTCATCAAGGATAAGAGATGTAAGTTTGAGATTTATGGTTTATTTTTAAAGGAGGTGGCATCCGTCTAATTGTAAAATTTGTGTTTCTTTAGAGTATTATTTAAATCATTTCTATTTGAAAAGTAGCCCACAAAGATGTATTTAATTGACCTGGGATCTAGTTTGGTCATAATAGGTTGATGTAGATGAACAAAAGAGATTCAAACAAAATTTTTTGTAGTAGGTTAGAAGTGAATGACTGACTACGTGGATAGGATTTTATGAGTGTTGAGAGATTTATTAAAGTATAGCACTCTGTCGGGCATTCTATCTGATTATGTGGATAAGATTTTATGTGTTGAGAGGTTTATTAAAGTACAACACTCTGTCGGGCATCCTATTTATGAGATAGGTGGATGTGAGAATTGCATCACCCTTGAAATGTTTGGGTACATTGTTAGTGAATAGAATTGATCAAGTCACTTCGAGGAGATGTCTGTTAATTCTCTCAGTCACACCATTTTCTTGGAGTTTGTCAAAATAAGAACTTACATTAATGATATCATTTTTGGATAGATGAAGTCTAGGAGTGCTATTGCAGTAGTTTTTAAAATTATTAGTTTTCAGAATTTGAATTTTGTTATGAAATTGAGTGAAGATCATATTGTGGAATGTTGCAAATATGCTAGCAGCTTCAATTTTTTTCCTTCATGAGAAAGGTCTAAATGATTCTAGTGTGGTCATCAATGAAAATGGCAAACCACCTAATCGCATTTATATTATTTTATTTTTTTAGAGCCCCCAGATATCACTGTGAACCATGGAGAAGATATGTGTTAATTTGTATTTTAGGCCTGAGTACACTTGTCATGTTTAACAATTTGTAGCGTTTCACATTAATTAGAACTAGGATTTTTATTAATAAATAAATGTAGATATAACTTTTCAATATAATAAAAGTTAGGATACCTAAGGCGAAAATGTCATAACATAACTTGACTCTCATACAAAACAGACTTACATACAAGACTTGACTTAAAGAATTTTGAATGATATGATGGTTCTTTTGAAGTGGAAGACATAGTGAACAGCTAAAGTCCACGATAAATATCAGCACTGTAAATCACCTTCTTCGAGTCCATCGCCTGAAATTCACACAAATTATGATAGAATTTAGTAACAAAATTCATGTCACGAATGAGTTTACTGATAGACGATAAATTGCAGTGAAGTTTAAGAACATAAAGCACAGATTGAAAAATAAGATCATTTCTGAGTTTCACACTTTCATTTCTTTCCATAGATGAAAAGGAGTCGTCTATAGTCTAATTATAGTATGGCGTTTGCAGGAATGAAATGATTGTAAAGCAGTGATATCACATGTCATATGATCAGATGCTCCATAGTCCACTATCCAAAAGTTGGTTCATCTTATTGAGAGCAACAAGTGAAGATAGAAGACTATCTTGATGTGCTAGAATGCAAGTAAGAGATTTGGAATATCATCCCTTTGGAGAGCTTCAAGTTGTTCACTGTTGAATGGACTATATTCATGAGGCTTGTCTTCCTTGATGTTGTGTTTGCTCGATTTCCCTCATCACCTTTGACTTTATTAGGCTTTCAATCTGCAGGTTTTTCATAAATTTTCCAACACTTCTTCAAATGAATAAGTTTTTTGCAATATTCACACCACGATCTATTCCACTTTGATTTGTTGTTTTGTGATGATTTGTGAGTGTATAAAATTGAGTTGTCAACATTTTATGTATTGCGATTACCTGACATCATGAGTTTCTTCCTACTCTCTACCCTTCATAATTCTGAAAAGTCTTCAAGAAGTGAGGGAAAAGATTTGGTTCCCATGATTCTTCCTTTCACTTCATCTAGGTCCTTATTGAGTCCTAGAAAGAAATTGATAGCTCTCTTCTGTTCAACAATGATTTTGTAAAGGGCATAGTTTTATGAGCATCTCCATGTGTATGTTTCATACATATCTAATTGGAGTCAATATTTGGAGAGAATATTGAAATATTGAGTACAATTCAACTAAATCTTCCTCAGTTCATGTCATCTAGTTTTAATATTAAACAATTCAGAGGTGTTGTCAATACTTGAATAAGTTTCTCTTACGACATCCAAGATTTTCTTGTCGTTTTGTCTAGGAAGAATTTTTCTCCAATCTCCGTATTCATGGAGTTGATAAATCGTGACATGACTATGTGATCTTCAATCTTTCATTTCTGATGTCTAGAATTAGTGACTTCAGGCGCAGAAATTTCTTTAGTGAAATTATCACTTTTTCTTTATCAAAGATGTGCATGAACACAGATTGAGACTATTGAAGGAATTTTTTGTCAAATAGTTTGTGATTGGTGATGCAAGAATAGACTCTAGAGCTACAAAACCAAACATCAAAGGTTCAGGTTCAAACATAACTTTTAGAGAGGAAGTAGATTTCAAATTGTATTTAGTCATCATATGGATTTCCACTGAAGAGAGAAACTATCTATCATCAACATAGAATTTCCACCAGAAAAAGAAACTGTCTGTTGCTGACACAAAATTTCTACTAAAGAGAAATTGGCTTGTCGCTGACACAAGATTTGCACTAGAAACTGTATGTCGCGAACAAACTATTCCACTACAAAGATGGGCCAGACATGGTTGTAATGCGCACAAGTCTTGGATTTCCCCCAAAGAGGAAATTCAAGTGGTAAGGAGCATACGATTTCCACTCCAGAGAGAGAGATAGAGAGTTTGGCCTAGCTGGGTGGAATTGATTTCCACTAGAAAAATAAAGTCTTGTATCCCAGAACTGCAATCTCTGCTATAAAAAACTAGAGGTCAGACAGACCTAATTTGTGATTTCCATCCGAGAAAATCGCCTATTTCTACAGACGTCTCTACACGAAAATAGCATGAGGTGTGAGCGCTTGTGCGGAACAAGAAAGCGACGGAGGACTACTCTGCATAAGAAAACACAAGTCACGAGCAAATGTCCAGAAAGTCGCAAGGGTATACTGGAAACAAAAGGACCAAAGCTTGTCTAAGGCAACGCAAGTCTACGGAAGTATGGTTGGCGATTGCGATCTGGCAGAGAGAGGGAGCATGGAGCAAGGAGTCGAGACGGTCCTACAGGCTACATGGAGGATTCTGGTGGCTGAAGGAAGATGCAGGGTTTCTTCTCTTGCTCTGATACCATGAAGAATTTAGAGGGAAAACTCTCTCACTTTCTCGTTAAACAAATAACAAATATATATACAACTTAGATTAATAACCCTCATACAAGTGAAGGGAAATTCAAATCATCATAACAAGAAATAAATAAATAAAAACACAATAATAGATAATTTATGGAGAATAATTTCTCCTCCTTAAATGTAATAGCGGACCCACGGTTTCCTAAACCGAATATGCATATCAACACATACCACTTAATTCCTATGAATTTATATATCTAACATCTATACTTCAATTTTTATATACATACCACCTTATCTATATATGAAATAGTGTATTTCACTTTTTAAAAGCTAAAATAGCAGCTTTCTTGATGTGATATAAAAGCTATGAGTGATATAAATGTAAAATGTAAAATTAAGATGTTAGATACGGAAATAAATAGAATAGCATGGTATGTATGTAAATGTCCTAAATGTAATTGCCACCTTTAAAATAAAAAATCTATAGACTACTAAAACACACCAGATAAAAAAGAGTAAAGGTACTTGTTTCTAGATGTCACTCACTGAATCAACAGATGCAACTATTGATACAATTGACATAATCATGGACGTTCTGAAGCTGAACGTAGGCGCCCCCCATTGGAATGGATAAGGAATCCTAACCCAAGCAGCTGTCTCCCATGCAACAGAAGCATCGGTGCGGCAACGTTTCATGGTAAGTGCATGTTTTCTGCAAGTATCTGACAAGATATTTGAGGTGGGTATATTTGAGTTGCAGTTTTTATAGTTATAAGCTCCACCAGCAGTCAAAAAGAATGCATAAGCCCAGACAATGGCGACACAAATGGGAACCTGCTAGTAAATCACACATAAAAGTGAAAAAAAAAACAAAAAACAAAAACAAAATTACATTTTCAGTCATAGTAAAATTATTAACACCAATCCATTTCTAAACAGGAAGTACATGAATCATGACTTTCAGATGCCCAGAGGAAATAAAAAGGGTACATTTAAATAGCACACAATTGTAATGTATTTACATATCTCACACCTAAACTTTCTTATTCATACACAACACTCAAATCTTTAATATCACATCAAACATATCACTATTATGACTTTTTAAAAGTGAAATAGGTTAAAAGCCCCGAAGTTCAATGCAAATATGAAAGTAAAGGGCTGAGATATGTAAATACATAAGAATTGTGTGCTCCATATGTAAAGTTCCCAAAATATCTATATATATAAACAGGAAGTTAAGTAAATACCGCATAAACTAGGAAAATGTGATGTCCAAAGATTGAAATTTTGCGAAGGTACTGCAATTGACAAAATATGGACAAAAAAGTGTCATGATACAGCAAAGTATGCATCGAAGTAAGATTCTGATTTAAATGCTATGCAATATCTTACCAGTGTGAAAATAAGAATCAATAAAATTAGAGGGATGCTTATTCCTACACAAGAACCCGCCTGAGGGAAACCATAGCTGAAAAATGCCAAGCCTACAGCAGCAACAGAAGGAGCAACTACAACTGGATTTAACCACCTGCACAGTAATAAAAAGCCACCTAAATGTATGTCATCAAGGAGTATTTTACCAAAATACTTTTGGCATGATAAAAATGTACCTCATCAAGGAGTAGATTACCAAAACATTTTTGGGATAGTATTATAAAAATAAGATAGTTTAAGTTGCCTGATTCTAAGAGATAAATACAGCCATTGGTTTCTGTTGCATTTTGAGTGCGAGCAATTTGTTTGAGCATATGCAATTATTTCAGTTATTGTGACACGGGTGCATAACAGCGGATTATTTAATAAAAATATATTCATATACTCATGCCTATTTGACATTTTTTCAAAGTAACATTCAATTTTTGTCCCCCATCAAACTTATTTTATGTGCCACATATTCATGTGAATTTACATATCTGCCACCTAAAACTTCATATTTATATGAATAACACTCAAATCGTTAGTACCACTAGAAAATATCACTATTACTAATTTTTTAAAGGTGAAAGCACATTTTCATGCATTGGTTTATCGCACCAAAGTGTTATTAATGTAAATATCAAACTTTTAAGTGTTAAATACATAAGTATGTAGGACTTGTGTGGAATGCATGTAAATTTCAATTGTGAAAAATTTCTGATCTCATCACCATATAGTATGAAGTTAGAAAAAATAAGAATCTTCTTCCGAAAAAAGCCATATAAAGATTGGGTATTAACGTAACAATAAAATTGCTTACGAGAACAAGCATAATTGATGAAAACATAAAACAAAAAAAAATTAAAAAATAACATTATATAGAAACTTACATAAAATACAGACAACACGTAATTAAAGAGAATAAAACCCTAATGAAGTATGATTTAGACTCATGGAAAACACGCATGTACAAGCATACAAGGACATTTTGATTGATATGGCATGCATTGCTCCCGTGCGCACTATCAAAGGAGAAACCCATCTTGCTGAAATCTCGCTTAAAAAAGCCTTGAGGTAAACAGAACTATGGCCAGACTACACCCATGGATGTTTGCAAGACCGGCCATTTAAGGCCCGTATAAGCTTGCTTAAGAATGTATAAAACTCATTTGCTCTCAAGAGGCCTGAAAAACAACAGGGCACAAGAAGACCTAGACCAATCTTCACAGCAAACAGTTACCCTAAATACACCGTTTCATGCATACAAAAGGTGGCAAGTATGCAAAAAATTAAAGTTTAAGTGTTAGATATGTAAATACATAAGAATTGAGTGGTACGTATGTAAAACTTAAAAAAATGGGTTGGATGAGAACCTCATAAATGGGCGCTTTTAAATAAATATTTTTTTAATTATAAACAATAGCCAGCTAACACCCTTTGCAAGTTTTTACATTGACCCATTGCTCATTGCCTCTACGGCAAACACAGCCCTTCTGAGAGCCCAACACACGTGCAAAAACAGCATCAATTAATTAAATTACAAATCTGCCAAAATTTATCAGCTGAGCAACTCTAATTATTTAAAACCTAATCGAGTATATCATCCATTATGCTTGTTCTGCAGCCATCTATGAAGTGTTTGGTGAGGTTCACATAAAATATGTAGAATAACTTTAAAATAAGTTGTCAAAGAAGTTCTTAAACCTTATGTTTGCTCTATTTAATTTAACGTTTATCAGTAGAGTTAATAGTGACCAAAGCACTGCCAAGTTAAACTGTGAAAAATAAGAAGTGGCAACTAGGGAAATAGTTTCTAACGTTATTATGTACATAAAACTCATCTGATCAATGAAGAATCATAGAGCTACAGATAAGTACCTCAGAATAAGTGACATAAGTCCACTATAGCCCAATACGGCTTGAAAAATGGAACCAACAATGATTGCCCCTTGTAGTTCCCTCATAATGTGCTTGAATTTCTACATTTATAAGAAAGAAACATTTTGTAAATATGTAAAATGGAAAATGGAATTCTCGAGGCACAAAAATAGAGGATGCCGGGGGGGGGGGGGGGGGGGGGCTTCTCAAACGGAGAATTTTTCTATTAAGTCTGTTGGACTTCAAAGATTCCTACTCTGTGCCTGACATGAATTGATACAAAGAAGATCTGGGTATAACTAAGAACCCAACATTGTTGGACTAAGATCAATTAAGAAAAGTTATGTTTGATATTTATAATTATCAATAAATATGATAAAAAGTTAATACTTGTACCTAGATGTGATCTATTATAAAGAAGAGAAAAAAGGATATAACTTATAGATTTAATTTTCAGAAGAAAATGGATACACACAAGAACATGAATTCAGGAATTAACATTGGATGCTTAAAAAGAAAAAACATCTCAATAGTATTATAAAATAATAAGATACCAAGGAAACTTAAACTGAATCTTATAAAAGTGCAACTAGATCATCAATGTGCGGTGAATCCAAACATTAGATTGTAAAAAAGCCATTCATAACCATTTTGAGCATGAAAAAAAAATATTGTATGATGAATGTGTGACAAAACTAGAAAGAATAAACAAAGAAAATATTATATTAGAAAATTTTATAATTAAAAATAAACTTAAATGATTTTAACAAGTGCAATGATATGTAGAAAATACACCCCTTAAATGAGTAGAAAAAATTAGTCTCATGGAATTAAGAAGAGTAAGTTTAACATTTCAAGCAACCAAACTCTACTAACTTAAATAAAACAATGATGATTAGAATGAATAAGTTGATTCACTAAGCATTACCCTGTATAAAAAAGAAGCTCATAAAATTCAAACTCTTGAATTTCAATAGTTCAACCACCAACAATGCTACCAGCCCAAATTTAATGTTTAACAACATAGAAGGCCTTTATAAATGCCAGAAAAAAAATTTCTATAACATCATATTTAGTTCCAAAATTTACACAAAGGATAAAAAGTAGGTAACATTCACAATTTGGCATTTAAATTTAAATTTTCTGGTTGGGTGGAATATATAAAAAAATTCCAAGCTCTGTTGTGCATTAACAGATGGATAGAGAAGGCACTGTGAATCTATTGATATTGAAAGTAACTTCAACAGTGTAAATACATAACTGATAATATTGTTTGTGCATGGATTTGTTTGCATGTTCAGTGCAATAAACATCAGGTCTATTAGAGCACAAATTTTAATGAATCAAATTAATATTGAAATATGGAAGGAAAACAGAAAAAATGATGGCATCACAATCAGACTTACGTTATCGCTGAGGTTTCGATATTCTTCAGAATTAATGATAACCAAAGCAGGAGCCAAATATACAAATGAACTTCCCTGAACCAATGGAAGCCTAGTACCAAAAAATGAGTGCATTATGGTTGTAAAACCGGACACTAGTAGTACAGTCGAAATTACGTTCGCAGTTTCCCCCTACCAACATGAAGAATAACATGCAGACTGAAGTCATTTTCAGCGTTTCACAGACTTAAAAACGGCCAAAGAAAGAAAGCTTACATCATTTCCACCCATGGCGGGAACCATGATCAGAGGTATAAATATAAGTGAACCAGCCAGTGAAAGGTAGTGTTGGATACCATATAAAAACAGCCGACCTGCAGACATAGACAGTCGCAGCAAATTTGAGAAAAAGATAGCACTGCAGTTCCCATCTTTAGCACTCACAACATTACAAAACAGATTATTTTGAGATTTCAAACAACTGGCATAATCTCCTTCAAACAAATAGTCATTTAAACGCTGCAAAATAAGGCATTCAAATGTCAAGAAAAATACAAGAGACTAAATCAGACTCGTTGGGTAGAATTTTCTGAAAAATAATGTATCATTCTCTCCTATTTAATGGCAAGCATCACATCATTAAAACAACAAAAATAGTTGTGGTTGTGTTACAAAAACAAACCTAGTAGATGTCATCAATCAAGAAGCAGCATGAATCTCAAAATCAGCACAAATTTCAAAGTGTTCCATCAATCTTTAGGATGGGCAAAAAATCATTGAGCACAAAGCTAAACTAGTTTATAATTACACCTAAATACAACTCGACACATCAGCCAATACAATAACTTTGTATTTGCTCAGCTCATCACAGCCACAAGTTCATAACAATCACAACATTGGAATCGTTAGTTGATAACTGAATTGATTGTCCTTAGAACCTTCCAGTCTCTACATAATGCATTCTAATGTTTGCATATTCTATATTTACCGTTATAAAAGTTGTAATAGTACAAAAAACCTTATGCAGCCCTTCTCAAACAGCATGTGTCAACCCATTGAACTTATTCACTCGGTGTATGGGTATGCTCCTAATTATTTCAATTCAAGTCTATAGAAGCTATATTTTATTCATTGATGATTCCTCTCAATTATGTTGGGTGCTTCCAATGCTTAATAAATCTAAAAATATTCATAAATGCATGTACTCTACAGGAAAGGTTGCCACTCAATTTAATATCTTTATCAAAATATGTCATGCTCTGATGGCGGCGGTGAATACAACAGCTCTCTCAATAATTTCCACTCTGAAAATGGCATTCTCCACAAGTTCTTGTGCCCCTACCCCCTGGAATAAAATAGAGTGTTGAACGCTAACAACGCGGCCTCATTGAGGCAACCCATACACTCCCCCATGGCGCTCATCTTCTACATACCCTATGGGTGGATACTATCTTCATGGAAACCTATCTCATTAACCGAATGCCCTCCAAAACTCCCAAACTAGCATCTTCTTATGAACTTTTACATCAACGTCCCCCAACCTATTCCCATATGTTGTATGTGGCTGCAAGCTCATGCTCCTCAAAAACTTGCCCCTTGCTCTACTCTCTGCCTTCCTAGCTTACTCCTCTCGAATCAACACTAAAAGTGTTATAGCCCACTCACAGGGAAATTCATTCTCTCATCATGCAGTGATTGATGAGTGTTTCTTCACGTAAGTATCTCAAGCACCTATTCATATTGTTGATCCTCCAAAAGTCAATTATAATCCTCTTCTCCTCACACTTGTATTCCATCAATTCTCTCAACCTATCGCTTCATCACATGGTTTGGACCAGCACACAAAACACCTCTACTCGCTAAACTCTCAGTTTTCTTCATCTTGTTTGGAAATCTCCCAATCCCCTCCTATCCTGCCCACTGCCTCACCACAACCCACTGTCCCTCCTCAGCATCCCATCCTCGTTTCCTTCAAAATAAGACACCTCAAATCAACTCAAAGAAACTAAACCTCTCTCATCAGCTACAAAACTCTATTGATCCTACTTGTTACACCCAAGCTGCCAAAAATGCTTTCCAACAACAAGCTATGATGGAGTTTCATATTCTTCAAAACCAGGGAACATGGGTCTCGGTTCCCCTTCCACCCTTGCTCTACTTGCTTTGTCTTCCTGTCATGATCTGGCCCGGAACTTAAAATTAAATAAGGTAAGAATAGTCGATCAAACGGTGAAATTAGGTTAAATTAAGTTTTCTATAATTTTATTTCAATCACAAACAGCTTAAATACACATTACTTGAAAGAGCCACTAAATGAAGCAATTAAATTGATCAATTAAAAAGTTACCTTTTAGGTTATTGTCCTCGTCCTGTGTATGCATTATTTTCACTAATATTCATCTTATTCAAAAGCTTAAGCTTTAAAAAAATATTAAAATAATCTAACGAGTTATCTGAAAAAATTCATTTGAACAATCACACTTCCGAACTACAGTAATACATGAAAAAGATAACAAAATACAAGTTGATCTTTAATAATTCACTATAAAAAACCTTATAACAATTTAAGTTGTGTGTCCATAACATTTACTCAATAGAAATAACATAAACATCGATATGCATTAACTTTAACGACTTCAAATTTTTTATTTTTTAACTTTATTATACTATATAATTTTATCATTTACATCTGTCTCGGGAATATTGTCAGAATATAACCTAACACAACCATAACTAATATTATGTCGTCAACACAACGGATCGTGATTTAATTTACACAATTGTATAAAGTGAAAATGTGTCTACCGCCGTTTGCCAATATTTTCTCATCAACACAGCAATTAGCGATCTAAATATCACAATTATCTAGAAAGGTAGGATAACATCTACCTGAGCGAGTATGATGACATCCCTTATCTGAGGGCTAACTTCTCTTGTATGCATATACAAACATCCATATATATAATATTTTCATTTCATTCTTCAAGACATTACTTTTCTATGAGAGAACTTGTATTTATCCACTAAAAATAATGCAACTCTATTAAAATCTAATGTAATGCGATAATCTGATAGATGCACATTCACTAGCATTTTAAATGTCAAGTAAAAATATGGCATATACATCTGGTCATGCAATAAGCTAACATATATATCTCTATTAGAATATTTGAGTGGTGCAATAATCTGAAATCTTCTTAAAATAAACTATTATGCAACTATTAACACGGTATTAATTAACATACATACTTCATGACTAATGATATAAAGAATCATTGGTGATTAATTTCATTGTTATAATGCAAAATAGAGAGAGATTGTAGGTAAGAATGTATTTAAAAACAAGAAATATTACTGTAACTTAAGAAAATAATTACTCACCTCAACTTGTCTGCTTATCTTGGTCTCGTTCTCATTAAAAGCTTTTATTATTGCAACAATACCTAACATTAATAAGTATATATATATATATAACCCAATGACTAATATAATAAAGAGAAAAAGATACAGATAGATTGTATGAGTGGGTCCAAAAAAAGACACTCAACCCACACGGTACAACACACAAAAAACTCAAAAAAAGAAAGGGTACATATAAAAATCAAAAAAGCCCAAAACCATCAGGACGCAGAAAAAGTGAGGGTCATCCCAATTTATTCATGTCTCTACCTCTAGTTCTCAGAAGGGATCTAGCTAACAAATTGGTAAGGTGCATATCATTACCCGAAGTAACCAAAGTATCATTCATAAGATTCCTGAGCTCAAGTAGATCTTTATTCTTCTTCTTCCTCCTGGAAGTGTGAGCGATTCCTGAGCTCAAGTAGATCTTTATTCTTCTTCTTCCTCCTGGAAGTGTAAACCTGTCATTTCTCATCTGAAGAATGAGTCTGATGAGGTGGTAGAGCTATAGCAAAATAATTACCAATTGTTGTACCCACAATAGGTTCAAGTAAATGTGAAGTATGAGTTAGCTCTACACCAGATACTTCCTGAAGATGGAGACATGTGAGGTTCTCCTACTTATCAGTCTGAAAACTATCATTTGTAGATAATAGTCCTTCAGTATTGTTTTTAATAGGGTTTGAAGGTGTAGGCTGTCCAACAGAGCCATCTAGCATCACATCAATTGCAGTAACAGTAACAGTAGTGTCAGGGGGTCCATAGGGGCAACAGACATCTCCTGTCTTGTGGTGGTATCCTCCCCAGGTGGAACAGATATGTCCAGAACAATGGGGTTAGACCCATCCTTATTCACTTGAACCTTAGATTTCAAATTAGGATTGAGCTTGTGGCATTTATCAAGGGTATGCCCAAACATCTTACAATAATTACAATAAGAAGGTATGTGTTCCATAATGATTTGTTGTCAATATCCATTATGAGTTGTGCCCAACCAGACTTCAGTAACATCAAGTAAAGTAATATGTTTTTCCACAAGTATTATGGTCACAGAAGGTCTGGTTAGATTGAAAGTGGGTAGATATAGTTTCATAGAATCCCCAAGAATGACCCCAATAAAGTAGAGAACTTGATGATGAAAAAAGTGCAACTTGAGACCAGATAGACTAAATCATACCGGTACAGTGGGAGTTTCATGATTTGGCTCGAAATCAAGAGACCGCTTAAGTAACTTCATTTACTTGTTTGCAATATTAAAATATTTCTTGGAGAAAATCCAGGTGTAGTCTTTGGTCACGGTAAGTTAAATCAACACATGTCTTCCATCCATGAGTCTTACTTTTCACTTGTCTACTAGCTTAAGATCATCAACTATCTTTTTAATAATCTCCATAGGTGGTTGCCCCCACTGAAATTTTTCAATAAGAGCAAACTTGAATTACTATGTCAGGGTTGAAATTTCTAAGTCAGAGAAAAATATTGTTGTTTTCCAACATTTCTTACTTTCGTTCTTAACAAAAGGGTAATCATCTATATCATCTCGACAATCTTTATAGCTTGAGGGGAAGGCAACAGCCGACTCCAGCTGAGGGTTACCCACCACGTGGGCATAGGAGGCTTTGTCATGTTCAACCAAAGAAGAAGGGAGCATCATCTGAGCAAGGAGATCCACCTGCTGGAAGGTTGTCGGCTTACTCCTGCTGCGAGGTCACCAATACGCAGACGAACCGAAGCTGTCGGGCAGGGAGAGGCGAGCGTCGAAATAGAAGAACGACGCAGACGCAAGTATGTATGTATGTATGTATATATATATATATTTATTTTTTTAAAAAAATGAGACACATAATTAGATCTTATCTCTCTAATATTCCACTAAGTCAACGATCCCCTTGAATTCTTTTAATTAATTTTCCTAATTATTGCTCACAAAAAATATCTATTATTAATACTACTTAAATTTTGAAATTTACTCTGA